AAGAGCATGGGGTGGTGCTGCGAGCATAGAGGAGCCCGGCGACGTGCGGCCCGCTGGAACACCGACGTGAACATCATGTCCCTCCCCGTGGCCGAGCAGGGCCCCGCCGCCGTTCGGGCGGTGCTCGTCCTCCACGGCTTCCCGGAGCTTTGGCGCCACGAGATGGCCGCACTCCCCGCGCCCTCGTCTTCAACCTCCGTAGCTTCGGCGCCGGTCCCTCCTTCGACTAGGCGCCTGCTTTGGACGATGTAGAGAGGTGGTGACGCATGATATGTGGTGGTGCAGGTGCGGCCACCCATGACAAGTCAAGTGCAGCCATTGTGCTTGCGGCAGTCAGAGCTACCTGTAGTAGCAACACAAGTAGCGCCGGTGCCGCTAGCTGTGCACGGCTGCACGCTGTGGTTGCGTAAGACGTCCTAGCCGGGATGAAGGTCCACACAGGTCTCTCCTTCACAGAGGATGTTTGTCGAGCGATGGTGATATGTGGGATGTGGTGGTGCAGTTTGCCGCCATTCATGCCGAGTTTGATGCAGCCACTATCAACATCCTAGCGTGCATCGGTTGGTGTCATCTCCCGCATTGACGTGAGGACCATGTTGGCTTGCTGCAGTGGTACATCATTCTTCATGTCGTCGAGGTTGAAAGGCTCATTCAACTAACTGACCCTCTCGAATAACCATCGAAACTCCTTGCTTGGAACGTTCGATCCGATTTATTGTTTGAACTCTCGTCACAAAACTCAGTTCACTTTAACTATAAAACAAGGACGTATGCTCGTGCCAAAAATAAGAAGGTATGCTAAAATTAAATCAGAAGACACATGCGATGGTATGCCACCCCTGGTATCGCTTGATGCAGACACACACCAGTAGAGGGGAAGCGGAGGTGGTCGAGGAGCATGACAACGTAGGCGTCGGGATGGGCTGGGACGCTGGAGTCGCCGAAGCCACGGAGGTCGGGGACGAGGGCGCGGCGAGCGCGGCCATCTGGTGGCACGAGTATAGCCAAAGCTCTGGGAAGCCATGGAGGAGGAGCACCGCCTGGACTGCGCTGGGGCCTGGCGCCCTGCTCGGCCATGAGAAGGAAACACCATTGTATGCGTCCTAGAACGCCGCACGGCGTCGGACTCCTCCATGCTCGCCGCACCATCCCCACCCTCTTCTCGTATCAAATTAAATCTACCTTAATCGGAGGAGTTGGCCCACATGGACAAGTGGCGGTCTCTTATTGGCCCTGCACAATATTTCCTGCAAGGAGCCTTGCAGTTGAGCCGAACCCATGTAAAATCCTCTCTCTAATCTCTTGGACCCCTGATTTTCAATGGTGGGTGGGCAGGTGGCATGTGCTTTCTGTTGCATGCAAAGAAAAAAGTAATAGAAAAGGAAGCACACAACTGCATTGCCTAGTCTGGCCTAAGTGCCTTGTCAGAAACTACACGCTTCAACGCGCACGCGCGAATTAGCAGCCCTCCAAGCAAACTAGAGGAGTCTTTGACTGCCGTCACGTAGGTTTCCGACATCTTCAACCCACTCAACTGCCCTCCCGGTCCACCTTTCTTTCACCCCATCTCTGTTTTCCATTTGCTTTGCATCCACACCCTCCTCGCCCGTTGCCGTCGTTGTACCTCTCAGGTCGTCGCCCAGGTATCGTAGGATGTCTGCAGCCCTCACCAACGCGCCTGCCCTCCTTGGACTATGCCGCCATCCACCCAGGACCCCTCCATAATCAAATACCCTTCGCCCCTTGCTGACGACGTCCATGGTGGACACCACGCCCAACATGGTGTACCATGGTGGTGGGATACTCAGTGAAAGGAGCATGAGTTGTTGTACAATGAGTGGATTTGTCGTATATGTGGACTTTGTAGTCATGAAATCGAATAAATAGCATAAACTACTACTTTACAGGCTAAGGTTCCAAAAAACTACCAATTTTTTTTCTCTGATAACTACCAAGTCAGAGGTTGGCTGTTTCAAAAAACTCTAATCGTCGAGTGCTTTACCGTTGATCATGATTATGACAGCTAGGCCCCACATGTAAGACAACGGATTGTCTAACCGTTTGTTTGACCGTTAGCTGACATGTGGGGCCCATATGTCGGTGTCTCTTTATCATAATTTAATAAAAATATCAATAAAGTAAGCGGGTCCTTGTAAAATTTGAAAAAAGCAATCGGGTCCCTGCAGAGTTAAAGAAAAAGCAATCGGGGCCCTCCCATGCTCAAGCTCGAGAGGAGCTACGCCACCGCAGACTTCCCTCATGCGCTCGTCGGCGTGTAGCAAGGGCCGCCGCTGAGCTCCTTCGGTCGCTGCCTCCTCCTGCCGGCAAGCTGCACCTCGACCCGCCGTGAAGTCCCAGCCACGCGCCCTCTCTCTCTCTCCTCCCTCTTCCTGGGCGCGGCGGCCCGAGCCCGAGCCCCTGGCCATGGCGCTCGGCTCGCGGCAGCACGTGCTCTGGGCGCGTCGGCCTGAACCCTGGCCATGGCGCGCGCGGCCGTTGCTCCTTGCTCCTAGGCGCAGCTCCCGGCGCTCCTGGGCGCGGTAGCCCGTGCTCCTGGACGCGTCTTGCGGCGGCCCCTGCTCGCGGCACGGCTCGCGGCGGCCCTTTCTCCTGGGCGCGGCCGTCGGTGAGTGGTGGAGGTGGCCGTCGATGAGTGGTGGAGGTGGTCGTCGATGAGTGGTGGAGGACCTGGAGGAGCTGCAGCTCGGGAAGGAGGAGAGAAGAAAAAGACAGGAGGAGAGAAGAAAAGGTAGGAGGAAGAAGAAACATCTTACATATGGGTCCCACAGTAAGCTAACGGTCAAACAAAACGGTCAACAAACGGATTGTTTAGGAGCGGGTCCGACCTGTCATAAACCGGTTTAAAATGTTAGCAACGTCGAATCTGGGTTTTTGAAACAACCGACCCCTGAGTTGGTAGTTATCAGCGAAAAAAAGATATTCGGTAGTTTTTTGGAACCTTAGCCTGTAAAGTAGTAGTTTTATGCTATTTACTCCATGAAATCAAGTGGCTCGATCTTTTAGCGATGTGTGCATGGTTCATTTCATGTGCGAAAGCACTTCGCGCCCTATGACATGCACATCGTCCATGAACGTAACATGATGTCGATATCGCTTCGATGGTACACCATCTGCAACTCCGTCATGAAGTTTTACGGTTGAACGAGTGGAGACAATGTGGTCATTGGGCACGTCAACCATGGAGATCGTAAGTTTTGCTTCTTGTTGCTCTACATGCTGGTTAATTCATTCATTCATTAAGTGTTGCTCTACATGTTCTATAGCACACACGCTCTATCATGATGTACTATAGGACCGAGGGTAGACCATTCACGCACATACATAGGGGTTGCGCTGCGACATGTGCCGGCTCTGATTCTAGTATCGTAGAATTTGGAATCAGTGAATTCAAAAAACTTGTTGGACATTTGGTTATCTCGTTGAATTTGAACTATTGTTGTACTAGAGATATTTGCATGCCATTGATGAATAAATTGTGCTATTTTCTATAATTTATTTGAGTGTGGCGGGCATGGTTTAGTTAAACGAAGGAAATATTGTCCATTTTTATGTAAATTATGTTTGAACTTGGATGAATTTCGTTGTGTTTGATGAAATCCATCATGCTTGTTCAACTTTGTTTTGAAATGAGTGCGGAAATCCATCATGTTTGTTCAACTTTGTTTTGAAATTAGCACGCACAATGTTGGATGGTTGGCTCCCGCATCACTATCTACGGACTAGCACTAGTAGCAAACGGGCCATTAGTCCCGATTCCAGAGGGCCTTTAGTCCCGGTTCTGGACTAAAGCCCAAACCTTTAGTCCCGGTTTGCTTACGAACCGGGACTAAAGGAGCTCCACGTTGCCGCTGTCTGGAGCTCCACCTTTAATCTCGGCACCAACCGGGACTAAAGGATTTTTTTTGAATTTTTGTTTTTTTTAAAAAGAAATTTGATATTTTTTTGAATTTTTTCCTTATTTTGTTTTTCAAATATCTAAATTATTTGACAATTTAATCTCTAATGATTTTTTTCGATTTTTTCCTTATTTTGTTTTTCAAATATCTAAATTATTTGACAATTTAATCTCTGCTCACTGCTCAATTCTGCATTTGTTGTTTTCCTGACAATACTAAGCTTTCAATCCTATTAACTCTTAGAAGTTGAACTTGAGCATTAAGCACCGTTTGAGTTTGAAACTATTATTCTAAAAAACAATAATTATTTAGTAACACTAATATTTGTTGAATAAGTAGTTTGACCAAAGTTTGACTAGATTTGACCATAGTTTAACCAAAATTCAAAAAACTAAAATAATTATTTATTAACACTAATATTTCTTGAATAAGTAGTTTGACCAGATTTAACAAAAATTCAAAAAAAAACTGAAATTTGAAATTTGAGCATATCTTTTTTTCCTTTCAAAATTTGAGGATTCTAAAAATTTGCAAACAGGCCTACGGCGGTCAAAATCGGATGCAGAATTTCGTGCTGATTTTTTTGATATATTATGTGTTTTTTCAACATCGTATGCAAAAGATATGACCGTTTTACTTTTTCATAACACTTTTTTGCAAAACATGTCCAAATTTATGTTTTTTAATTTTCCTAACTAGTAGATGTAGTAGCATAACTACATCTCGAAGGATTTTAATTTTTGAAGATTTTATCATTTTCTTTTGTTTTTTACAAAACTGAAAAGGCGATACACAGGGGGGAGTTTGAACCTTTAGTCCCGGTTTGAGACACGAACCGGGACTAAAGGGCATCACACCCTTTACTCTCAGTTCGTGTCTCAAACCGGGACTAAAGGTCTCATTTAAACCGGGACTAATGCCTTCCCGACGCCTTAGCCGCTTGAACCAGGACTAATGCTCACATTAGTCCCGGTTCGTGATGCAACCGGGATTAATGTGTATATTAAGTTTGGACGAAAGCCCCGTTTTCTATTAGTGTAGTCTCCATCACTCCGCGGATGGATACATGTGTCGATTTAAGGGTCAGCGTTGAAAATACCCTTATGACACAGAGAATAGCAAAACCAGCATAAAATCATGAAGAAAGTACGAGTAGAACTGCAAAGAGGATTTGTATAGCAGGTAGGACGGGGCACGGATCCTGTACCGCTCATCTATTTGTGCCAAGATTCGGAAAATGGTTTGTGTATATAGTTTGTTTACTGTTTGTTATTATGTTTAATGTATTTGTATATCATGGCAGCATATCTGTTTGTGTGGGATAGGGTACCTTGTCCGTGGAACACATTTGCCGTTTTCAAGAATTCAGTACCATCAAGAGTTGTGTATAGGTGATCTGCAGTTGTACTAGAATCACACACCACAACTGCATAGTAGTACCTGCAGCAAGATCAATATAATCATCAGAGAGCAGAGCAAAGAACCTTGGCAAGTAGCAACGTTTTCATATGGTAAATATCAAAGATGGATAGACAAGGCCATGGACATATATATGCACACAATCCTAAACATGTGAAGGAAAAGCCGCCATAGTTACATTTACACAGGATCTGAACATTTTTATATGTTATTTAGCAAGAGAATATTATGGAGTATATTGTTAAAAAAATCATTCAAACTCTTCTCGGTAAGTCCCAGACAAATAGGAAAGTAAACAAGATGATAATCAACAAAGGTATCTCTATGCTTTGTTGCTAACCTGAGTTTGTTTAGCTCATAAGTACGGAGCTTGTTGTTCTCAGTCTCATAGTCAAGGTCACTATCTTCTTCGCCATCATCATCGTCATCGTTATCATCGTTGTTATCATCTTCCCCATCCTCATCCCCATCACCATCACCATCAGCGCCAATAAGAGCAGAAGGGCCTTGAGTTGCCTCAATGTTCATGCACTTCAGTCCAAATTCTGTTGGATATATCGAAACTGATACAACTCGCCCACCTTTCGGGATACAGGATGTCATGACCATATACAAGTCCACCGCCTGTTGAAAGGGAAAAACAAAGGAACACTATCATTTAGCCCAAGCAGCCTAAGAGAAGTTTCTATGAGCAACACAAACTATATATGCCCAAGGGGTGTGTTCCGTTGTTTGGATCTTCAGTTTAGCAAAACGCAGGATTTCGTCCAGTTAAATATGGGCTATTATCAAAGTATTTTGTTGGGGTGCTGCAAAAATCATAGGAAGTGCTTGAATACTTAACAAAACAAACAATAAACATAGTTAAATGCAAAAAAATCATTACAAGTGTGTTTAAGTAATGGGCATCTCTTTGATAAGTTTTGTGATTCAGTTCCACTCTAAGGGTTCAAATTTAGATTCCTTACCGAAACAGATCCTTAGGGGTATGAGATATTGGCAATTAGCACCTAAGATACAAAGAAATGATGATGGTTGCGGTGATTTGGGTATAGATAAATATGGACATTATAACTATATATAAAGGTCATCATTGTGTGAGGATGTCTGGACCAAAGAACCAGTAATTTGACATCACTTCAGAATTTGTTCTTAGTCCTGAATATCTAAATTTGGTGCATTTATATCTCAACTGAAAACAGGCGAATTTTAGTAATAGAGATTTCACCTGTTTTGAACAAAACAAAAAGATGAGAAATGAAAACATCTTTAAGCCAAACTACATGAATATATGCATCGTACTTCAACCTAACAAACTAACAAAACAACATAGTTTTTTTCTTCAGAACTTCTTACTGTTTTACTAGCATGTATTCCATCTAAACAACCCTTAATTGCTTTATATAAGTCTGCACACAAATGCAAGAACAAGAAAAATGCACATTAACCTCACAGAAAAGAAACAAGCTGGCCTCAAAACACATTACTTCAAGGTGATTCTCTCATGCAATTCAAATAATAAAACTGCCTTTTGAACATGGCTGAAATTGTTCAGGCAGACGGATTACTTGTCAAGATAATAGAAATTTGAATTGGAACACACCTTAATATGATCCCAGTCCATATTCACAGCAGCAAGCCTGTGAGTTTCCTTGTCAATCACAGGTGTATCATCATGCCTCGCCAACAAGTAATGAGCGATGTCACAGCCCACAGAGTACTGCAAAATAAATAAGTAAGTCAATGAATTAGAAGTAATGTAAGGAAAATGTCTGTCATGAAGACAAGAAAAATACAACAAGCAAGGTGTCTCATCAAGATAATTTCGGAACCATACAGAGATCCAACATATAAGAAGACATAACATAAGACCCGTAATGGCAATAAAACTATCTATATGTGGCAAGCTGCAGAAAATCATCAGAATATTAAGATCAATAGTTTTAGTTAAAAGTTGTTTTTATAGTTGACATATGGAATTGCACGGTTACAGAAACATGCATACCTTTGTCCCTAGCAGACATTGCCCAATAAGGTTCATGCTCTACAAGAAAAAAACAACGCTGACACTAGAGCAATCACAAACATTTTTTTAGAAAAGGAGGATGACCCCCGGCCTCTGCATCGGGGAGATGCATGCGGCCATTTTATTGGTTATTCTCGAGGACCTTACAAAGTAGGACAACAATATGCCTGAATCCGCCATCTTAACAACATCTGCCGCTACTCCTATCCAAATGATGAAGGGGTGCAAGCTGGGCCACATACCTAGACCTCTCACCTAAACCTAACATCTAAAGCCGGAGGCCCTGCCCGAGCCATCTGCCGGGCCCGGGGCTCAAACCAGTCCGACGCACTCACATGTGTCGTCGCCGCCATCTTCCACTGGTCCAGCTTCAGAGCAGATTGAGGTGACAACTTTGGCAGGTCCTTCGCCATCGACGTCACCACGATGCCAAACGATGACCTCCACCTACACGAGCCTTGGCAGGTCCTCCGCCATTGACGCCACCACGACGCCAGACGACCTCCACCTACGCGAGTCCATCTCCAAGCAACGGACGTAAATCCATGCTATGATAGGGCCACACCACTGCCGTCGCCCACCACCCACAAGCGCCACCCAACCCCAAAGTTCTCAAAGCGGCGCCTTCAAGAAGGGAACGGGGCTGTGAGCGCCGCCGCCGCCCAACAAAGTTAGGGATTTCGCCCGGGAGACCTAGGGAAGGTGAAGTGAGGAGATCAGTCCATACCGACGCCTCCAAGGAGGGGAACGGCACCCTCAGGCGTCGCCGTCGGCGTGGCCGGTCATGGCCGGCCAAGGATTTCGCCCGGGAGACGTAGGGGAAGGTGAAGTGAGGAGATCAGTCCATACCGACGCCTCCAAGGAGGGAAACGACGCCCTCAGGCGTCGCCGTCGGCCCGGCCGGTCATGGCCGGCTAGGGATTTCGCCCGAACTAGATCCCCGCCACCAGCAGCGCCTCCTGTACAGAACTGGCGACCAAGAGGAAGCGCGACCAGGTTGGCCCGCACGCCGAACAGGAGAGGAGGGGAGGCGCCAGATCGCGCGCACCGATCGTCGCAGAAGCCGCCACCGGCCGTCAACGACCACCGGATCCTGCCGCCCGCGCGGCCGGGACACCAGATACACCGCCCGCACAACTGCTAGCCGGCCGTGCCTTGCCAATGGAGCCACCGCTCCAGATCCGAGGTTCCCCACGCAGAAGCAGGGCAACCGAGGCCCCGCCGCCACCATCCTTGGCGCCCCGGGCTTGCCCGGTGGCTGCCTCAGGCGACGGCGAGGAAGGGAAGAGATGGGAGGAGGAGGGGTGGATGAGGGTTGGGAACAAGCAAAATCACAAACATACACCACAAGTTGAAAAATAATCATAACTTGAGCGGTGAGCCTGCATAATCTGCTGTATCCACATGTAAGATCCGATTGTTTTTAGAGGAATGAAGATGACAGGATTTGGAACCTGGTCATTGCCGTCCTCCTCATCATCGCTGCCGGAACTCTCTTCTTCCTCTAGCCCATCCTCTTCTTCCACCTCATGATCCTCCTCTTGACAAATCAGCTTCTCTTGTTCTGTCTTTTCCTCGTCCCCCTCCTCTTGGCTGAGATAGTAATGCAGCATGGGGTTCTCCCTGTCCCTGGCGCTCTTCTTGCGGCGTCTGCCGCGCTTGTCCACCGGCGCCGCTGAAGAATCGAACATGGGGTCCGTGAGCATGGGGGCCATGAACCTCGAGTCGAGGGCCACCTTGGCCTCCTTCCGCCGCATCGGTTGGAACCTCGGGTCCGCTCGTGCCGCCGCGAACCGCTCGTCCTCCATCGCCCTCTTCATCTTAGAGTCGAGGGCCTCCTTCCGCCGCATCGGTCGGAACGTCCGGTCGGTCCGCGCCGCCGTGCACCGCTCCTCCTCCATCACCCGCTTCATCTTCGAATCGACACGCTTCACCTCAACGGAGCCTGCCACCGTAGCCTCGATCAGGAGCAGGAGCCCGAGTCGGGGGCGAGTGGCGGCGGGGGTGGATGCGGGCGAGGTTGTGGCGGCGGGTGGGGGACAAGGGCACCGACAACGCTACACGCTTGTAAGAAGAAAATGGCATGAAATTAGGAATTGCGTGATTGGCAACCAAAGGAGGCCAACGGCCGGTTTTATGGAAAAAACCAGAAAATCTCCCCTCTCCCCTAAATCTTTTACCTAATCTTTTACCAGAAAATCCATCCTACCACCTGGGGGTAGTTACCCCACATGTCTCATATACTATCATGTGATACCTTATATACTACTTTATCATTCTAAATATGTTCATATACTATATATAAGATATTTCAAAACAAGTTACATGAAAAAATTGCATACGAGCCCATAGTTTTTGTTATATTTATGAAATACGTACATATCTGTACGTAAAAAAGAGTATGCTTAAAATATGGTACATACTACCTAAAAAGTAGTATATATCTTTCCCTACTAATAAAGCACGGAGTGCTTCTGGTCGTACGTCACACATTTTTTCAAAAAAGACCTTGTGTTTTCAGTAATTAAACCCGCCATCCTATTTTAAGTGGATTATAGGAGAAAACGTTTCGCTTATGCAAATAACACCCTGTAATTTGGTATTATTCAACGTCAGTCCGGTGAGGAAAACAGAGATGCAGACGGGATAGAGAGAATGCAAAGAGTAGTCCCGTTCACTGTCGCTCCCGCCGGCGACGACTGGCTTGCCCACGCGGCGGCCCACGCGAGCAAGGCCAAGGGACGGCCCAGACGGTCGATGGTGGCGCTGTCATCGTTGTCCTCACGCATGTAGACGAGGCAGTGGGGAGGGTGCCGGCGCTGGTCGCAGGGGAGGCCGAAGGGCGTGGACAAGCCAGATCCGGGACGGAGGATGGACACCGGCGGCTTGGGGACATGGATCCCGCAGATCTGAGCAGCGGCTGGCGAACTCGGAGGCGGCGGTGGCGTGAAGACAACCGTGGTGGTGGTGGCAGCAGCGGCGAGGCTCCTTGCGTGCTCCTTCTCATGGACAAGGGAAAAGAGAAAGAACTGAGAGGCAGAGGAGAGAGAAACGAGGGAGGAGGAGAGGCGCGTTGGAGCTCCGGTAGCGGGCGGCGTGCACGATGGATCGGGTGCTGAGAAAAGAAGGGAATCGGGGATGGGGAGAAGAAAGGTGTGGGGAAGAGACGAGAGGATGAGAGGAGGGGGCTGAGAAGATAAGGTCGGAGGGAAGAGCGGCCAAACGACACGCGTTGCCTGTGTGTGAGACGGCTGGTGCCCAAGCGCGGGCTGGAGACTCAAGGCTTGATTCTCGCCATGCAAAAAACGAGATTAAAGAAAGAAGTTAACTAACTTAGGAGGAATTAGCTAGAAAAAGGATTTTTTTAACGAGAAAGCTACAAAAGGATTAAATGCTTAATTATGGCCGTTGCATGCATCTGTTTGCTTCTCCGTATCTACATGCACAATTGCACACGATTGACGAGCTTGGTTCTACATTTCCTTTTCATCTCGACGAAGTTGGATACATGCACAGGATTGATGGTTTTTGTTCCATATTTTTTTTTCTTCTTTTATTTTCTTGATTAAAATTTTCAAGCATTCGTACCCATTGTAACCCCATCTGTTTGTGTTGACAAAATAATATCCGAGCGCTGCTGATTTCGGTTCATACGAGTGCATTTTATGTCAGACATTATAATTTTTGTGAGTTTTTGTTGTTCATCCGTTGCAACGCACGGGCCTTTTGCTAGTACTACCTAAACATCGTTATATACTACATACTACACGTGCATACTCTCGATTTTGACAGATACTACATACAACATACAAAACTCAAGTGATGGTAACTACCACTGATGGTAGATAAAATTTGTCCATATATATATAGACATGCTAAACTAAGCGTACTCGTATTACAGCTTAGCCTACGCTCCGGCCAGCCATGGATCCAACCGGCCGATACACGCTAATTAGGCGAAGCGCGCACTTTACCATGAAATCGACCGTAATGGTTACCCGTCGTCCACGCGCTTAATCAGGCACGAGTTATGATTAGCCAATCCCTTGCACGACTACAACGCAGACCAATTTTTTCTTCTTTTTTATATAATCCCTTGGACCATTAATTCATCATAACTACGACTGTAACACCATAAAAGAGCCCAGCCGCTTAATTGCTACCATCAATAAATTAGGCCTGCAGAAGTCGTAAAGCATTACCATCTAGTAATTGGCCCTGCTGGAAGTAGTAACGAATTACCATCACTATAATTACCATGAGCACACGTAGTAATGCATTACTACATATAGGGCTGATTTTACTAGGTTTAGTCATTACCATCTACTCCATCATTTTTACTGCTGCCAATTAGTGCGCGTAGTAATTCGTTACTACATGTTAGCAAGGTTTTAATATGATTAGGGCTCAAACCTTGGACATGTAGTAAGGCATTACTCCATATAGACCTGATTTTACTAGGTTTACACTGCTAAATAGTGTGTGCAGTAATTCGTTACTACATGTTGGCAAGGTTTTACTATGATTAGAGCTCAAACGTTGGATTACTCGTTGCATGGTGAATAATCTTTATACATTACTATCTCTACTACTCCCGGCCAATAAGTCGTGGTAAATAATCTTTATCCATTACTATCTCTACTACTCCCGGTTACGACCAATAACTAGTGCCAGTAGAATCGGGATACATCGAACCACGCATGGTAATAAAATTAAGCGTGTTACTTTTTTTTTGCAAAGGCCGTTACTCTCAATCAAATTAGAAACGGGGTGCAGGTTCTCCGCGCGACACTCCCGCCTAATTAGCATCGGTCGGAGCGCACGCTAAGCGAATATGCGCGCTAGCATAAAATAGCGCCACCGTATATATATTTCTCACTCCAGCCTATCTCCCACGTCCACAATTCAAAACATAAGAAACAAAAACATGTGGGGTAAAATTACTGTTTGAAGAAGGAACCCGTCTCTATCCCGTAAAGCAAAAGGAGCACCGTAATATTACCTCATGCATGCATCGATGTGCCAGTATAGAAAAGCCGCCCTAAGATTATGAAAAGAGTTTTGAGTCGAGGAAGTAATCTGGCCCATCTTGCTAGTGACGTGTTCCTGATTTGTTTAGATATAAGGCTGCATTCCTATATTCCAGGTATTTTACGTCTTGATCTACTACTATTTCTATTGGACTGAGTACACCGGCTGTAGCATGGAAATATGCTACTCCTAATTGATTTAACTAACATAGGCAGTTTTGTGTACTCCGGCTGCACTATGTCAATTCTGCACGAGGCATTTTTGGTAAACATAAGAAACATAGGCCATTAATTCATTCTGTACACAAGGCATTCTTGGTAACCACGGAGTAACAATGTGGTGTCATAAATATATTCCATGTAGTGGTTTCAGGAAATATCTCACTAAAACAAATTCCAGCCTTGAGATTACAAATAAAATTCGTCCTGATACAATTGAATGCCACTTAGCAGTAACTAACCAGCAGCATGAAAATTTCAGAAATCACTATTACAAAATTGCTGCTGAACTTGAATACTAACTACTGCGGTACTGCTGAACTTGAAACTAAATAACTGTCGAACTTGATCTTAAATTAGCTTAACTTGCAGGTGACCAGAGATCTCCCATCAGCTTCATCTGTTCACCAATCTCTCTAGGACCCCAGCGACTAAAACATTCTTATCCACGGGCTGGAAGCAACATAGTATCCTATTAATTGTACGGTAGCATTGAGGTCCACTTTTCTTCTCACAACCTGGATTTTGCTACTGGTTATTTGTAAAAGATGTTTTGAAATTTCAATTTAAAACTACACGTACATACCATAAATACCAAGACGCGACTCTTTATCCATCATACATTAGCCATCAACCACTTGAACGGATACCTGAAAAACAGAATATTTTCAGTTCTCGTAAGTATAAGAACAAACATGTAGAGGACACCAACACACAAGCACATATAACACTTTAGGATTAACAGGATTTCAATACCCTAAACTGGTAACAATGTCGAAATCAAAGATATCGCAGAGGGATTTTGCATGTACCAAATTCATCAGAATCACATGAACCAATAATACGATGTTGCAGGTATGAATCAAAAGTACACAGAAACAAAACAAAAAGGCAAAACTCTGTAACTATTGTTTCAATGCACACTAAACTATTTTCCTATCTTGTAGAGCTATCCATTCAAATATGGCTATTCACACCAAAATACGAGACTAGTGCAGCGGCCACTCATGATTTGTAGTCACCATGGGACTTGAGTTGCTTAGTTGCTTAAACAGTCTACTGTACTCACCATTACTAATTGAAAATTTGATTGTAAGGCAAAGCAACCATATCACTAAAGACACGAGGACAAGTAATTCAGAATTTAATAAATATATAGACTGCTAATTTATGTCGATCATTATTGCCAAACAATCTATGGTGCCTTTCTTTTTCTTGCAGATTGCTAAGTAAAATGGCAGGCAAGCAAATTTAAGTGACTCCAAATTTGCATCTATAATGAAAGATATGTATATGTGCGAGAGTAGCGGGCATTCAAATATAAAAGACTGTATCAATAACAAGCCACCACGGCAAGGATACAGACCCCAACGTGCAGCTCAACTTTTCATTTGATATTCAGGTTTAAGGCACTTCCCTTATTATTCTGAACATCACCAGCCATCCTACAAACAGACAGAGAATTAGCATAAGAATCAAGAAGCAGAACATAATTTCCAACTGAGCCATCTCCTCTGGCAAAATATGAATCATTGCGAAGGTGAGATGGCCTTTAGAAGAGCAAAAGAAAAATTAGTTTCACACCATGACACCACGATCAGTACAGTTCAGCAGATTTAGAAGCTAGTCAGGCCTTATTCGCCCCAAATCATATTCAGGATAAG